CCAGTGTTTAACCTTCTGTCTAACCCTGTCCACCAAGTAGCTGAAGACAGCTCTTTTTTCTCGTCCAATTTTAGTTGGTAGGCCGAGATACTTCTCATGGAATTCCACCACTTTCATTCCCAGAATAGCTGCTAGTTGATTCCTCGTGTCCTCCTTTATATTTGGGCTGAATGACAATTCCGACTTCACTAGGTTCACCTGCTGACCTGATTCCGCCTCATAGAGGGTTAGAATTTGTTTCAGTTTTTCGCATTCTGGCTTGGTTGCCTTCGTGAATAGGATACTGTCATTAGCAAAGAGGAGATGTGAAATCACTGGGGCCCCGCTTTTCACTTTGATCCCACTTATCTGTCTCTCCCTTTCTGCTTTTGTGATTAGTCCTGAGAGTCCCTCAGCCACTAGGAGGAGCAAGTACGGGGAAATAGGGTCCCCCTGTCTCAAACCTCGAGAGGGGAAGAAAACTTCTGATGGATGACCATTAACAAGGATTGAGAAAGAGACTGTTGAGACACAGCTCATAATTAGGTCAATCCATCTCCTTGCAAAACCTAATTTCTCCATTATTGCTTCCAGAAAATCCCACTCCACCCTATCATACGCTTTTGTGATGTCCAATTTGGCAGCCATATAGCCAGCTTTTCCTTGTCTTTTCTGTGACATCGTGTGAAATGACTCAAAAGCAATAATCACGTTATCTGTAATTAGCCTCCCTGGAACGAATGCGCTCTGGTTCTCCACAATAATATCATCAAGAATCCATTTGAGTCTATTAGCTAATACTTTAGACAGGATCTTATAGAGTACCTTACACAGGCTGATAGGTCTGAACTCCACAGGGCTCTTTGGGGCTTTTTTCTTTGGAATGAGAGCCAATAGGGCGTGGTTTAGGGCCTGTGGAAACGTACCAGCCTCTAGGAATCCCTGTAGCTCTCTAGTTATATCATCACCCAGAATATCCCAATTCTTCTGGAAGAAGAGTGCTGGAAGCCCATCAGCTCCAGGGGCCTTGAGGGGGCCCATCTGCTTTAGAGCCTCCCAAATTTCCTCCCTAGTAAAAGGTTTCAATAACTCCTCATTCATCCCAATCGTAACCTTTCTAGGTACAGCATCAAGAACAGTGTTACTCAGGGCCCTGCCTCCTGTTCTGAATAAAGCTTTGTAGAATTCCACTAAACACCCTGTTACTTGTTCTTGCCCCTTGAATTGAATGCCACCTTCCCCTATCAATTTCTTGATTGTGTTTCTCTGTCTTCTCTCTGAGGCTCGACGATGGAAGTACTTTGTATTTTTCTCCCCTTCTCGGAGCCAATCTGACCTGGATCTTTGCTTCCATCGAATTTCTTCCACTTCTAGGATCTCCTCCAGTTCCTTTTCTAGTCCCTGGCGTTGAGAGGCTAAACTTGTAGTCATCGCCAGTCTCTCTATCTTAGCTAGGTCCTTCATTATTTTCCTCTTCCTGGCCTTTTGACTCCCAAAAACAGCTTCACTCCACTGTTTCAATTTTGATTCGCAGTCACTTACCCTTTCCAGAAGGCTGTGGTGCGAGCCTCCCTCCCATCCTTCCTTTATTATAGCTTTGATGTCTTGGTGTTGTTGCCAGAAGGCTTCAAACCGAAAGTTTCTCCCCCATGTAATCTCCTCCTCCTCCTCCAACTCTGTAAATAGCACTATAGGGTTGTGATCCGACCCACATCTTCGAACGTGGTTAACTCTGGCATTGGGAAACAGGTGTTTCCATGAATTGTTTGCCACCATTCTGTCCAGCCTTTCTTCTAGGTAGGTATCATCCTTATGGTTATTGTCCCATGTGTATTTTCTACCGTAGTAACCCAAATCTTCAAGACCACAGAAGCCTAGGGCTCGGTTGAAGGCTTCCATTTCTTCCACCACTGCCAAATGTTTCCCATTTTTCTCCTCATAGCTTTGAATCAAGTTGAAGTCTCCCATGACCAGCCATGGCAAATCAGTTAAGCCATGTAAATTCTCCAGCAGATTGCACGTTTTAAGTTTGTTTTTCTGCTCTGGCCATCCATAGATGCCAGTTAGCCTCCATTGTTGTCCTTGGTCTTCCACCAGTAGATCAATATGGTTGTTCGAATACCCTTTCACCTCCACTTTTACTTCCTCCTGCCACATGATTAGTAAACCACCTGCCCTTCTTTCTGAACCCACGCCAAGTCCATTTTTCCAGCCAAGTTTTTGCAACACAGTCCTCCATTCATGGTGCTGTTTCTTAGTTTCCATCAGAAAAGCCACCTGGGGGTTTTGTCTCTGGAGTAGAGAACGCACCTTTCTAATTGCCAAGGGATTCCCCAACCCTCGGCAATTATAGCTCAAGCAAATCATTGGGCTGGGCGGTCCTGCATCTTGGCAGGATCCGCCACATCGCCATCCCTTTTTGAACTGTTTACTACTGCATCCTCGCCTTCTTTTTCTTGAAACACTAGCACCTTCGATCTCTTCGACGTTTTGTCGGGAAGAACTCCATCTGTCTCTTCTGCCTTTTGTTGACCTGCCTGACGTTTCTGTGGGGTAAGCTGTACCCCTCCAGTAGGCCTAAGTATTGTTTGCTCTTGTCTTTTCCAGACGCGAGCATGATGTCTTCCCCGTTGAAGAACCGCTGTACTACCCATCATAAATTTGGTCAAAGCTCCACTCTGATTGACACCAGCTTTGTTTTCTGTCCTAATCCACTGGTTAGGCTTCAAAGTTTGTTGTTGGGGCGCAGCTGCCCCCTCCTCAGCCTGTTTTAGGTCGTTTGGTTGCTGTTTCATTTTGTTAGGATTCATATCCTTTTCTTCCTGTCCCTGTTCCTTAGAGTCATCTTCCATCATTTTGTTCTCCTCTGCTTCCAGGACCATATCATGATCCGAGTTGGATCCAATGCTTTCCATCTCCAGCTTTTTGCGTAGTGCCGCCCACACCTCCGCATTCTCTTTCTTGGCTGAATACGATAGCCAATTCTTCTGCCCCTGTTCTGCCACTCTCAACTCATAACCAAAGGGATCAACCTCTGGTTTTGGTAGCATCTTGCATCTGAGTTTGGGATGCCCAATTCTCCCACACGAATAGCAAAATAGAGGGAGCTTCTCGTATTTTACTGGATATTCCATCAGCTTTCCTTGAATGTTCAGCTTAATCTTTTTCTTCAGTGGTTTGTTAATGGATAGGTATACTCTGAGACACATGTATTCGTCCCACATGTTACCTGCCCCCATTGTCAAACCAGTCCAGTCCCTCAAACCTGGAAGCTATCTTCTCCGCCATTTTTTGGGTTCTCAACTCAGCAGGTAGTCCTTCAATTCGGACCCATAGATCAACCATGTGCAGATCTTCTGGGTTCGGCTTTTGTATTTGCCCGCTCACCATAAAGATAATTAGGTTGTTTTCATAGTGCCAGGGGCCCACGAAACACACCTTATTCCTGTCATCCATATCCAAGAATTGAAAAGCAAAAAGCATATCGCCCAATTCTGTGATCTGGAAACCCTTACGTAGCTTCCACGCTTTTGTCAATGCAATTTTCATTGATTTTATGTTTGGTTCTTTTTCAGAGACCAGGCGGTCTATCAGACCCAAACGACGCACAGCTTCCATCCTGATGACATCGACATCAAAATCTTCAACTTCCAATGGTTCTTCATCGTACTCTTCGAGATTGATCTGGTCCAGTTGCTTCTCCAGCTCGATCGTTATGTTTTGCTCATGAGTTCTATCTTTGCTTGTCGCTGTATCATCAGTTGCCTTTTCCTTGCTCGCCATTGTGATTCACTTGTAAAACGCTTTCTTTCAGTAGATGGAGCTAGCTAAGGATCTAGTTTCCACCCAACGAAAGTTTGTGCGAAGCTCTTTGTGCTTATCAAGCTATTAATAGGTTTCGTTCTCCTTCGTGAGAGGATCAGTCCTTCTTGACCTAGTATTTCCTTGATCCACGAGGAATCCCACTCCAAAATTGACTCGAGAAAACCTAAAAGAATCGGAAAACCCTAGGGTTTCCGCCGCTCTCAACTCTCGCTAAACGAGAGAACTATTTTTTTTGGTTTCTATATTTGATTATACTTGTAGATGTGGATGTAAGTATTCTCGAAAAGTTACTTTCTCTGTTTTTCTCTATTATTGGAACAGAGGGAGTCAGAGAGCAGAGTGTTGTGCCGATATATGGAGTATCAAATTTAGATTTGGTGATGCTGCAGAGATTTAAGCATTTCGCTTGGCAGTGCGGAGTGTCGACGAGCAGAGCCACACCACCAGCCCGGTCATCCCCTTCCGCCACCGCAAGACCCTCTACATGTTCCTCTCCCGCAGCACGCTCGCCGCCGTCGACCACCATCGCCAGGCTACGGCAACTGTAATCCATGGGAGGATTGCATAAGGACACGGGGAATAGAAAAAATATTTCTTTCATTAACCGCGCCAAAATCCCTGCATCCAACTGCGATTTCGATTCCCAGATTTAGTTCGGCGGCCTAAATTCCTACACCCAATCGTGAACTTGGGAGAATCGATGGTGCAGGATGTCATCGGGTTTCTGGTTCTTGGCATTAGCTCCGCCACCCAAAAATCGTAACCCAACCAATTTGTTTCAACCATTCCAAACCACAACGATGCTATTTGAACCGGTCAGAAAATATGACGGCACCACAGAATTTGCCATTTAAACCTCAAACACGCCAAAAATATTTGCACAGTAGAAGCTAGAAAGTGACCGAGATGAAGACAACTTGTAGAAATCTGTATAGACTGATTTCTATTGAATGGATTGTTTCTCTCTTAATCTTATTACAAGTGATTGATCCTATATTTATACAGCAGTAGAAGAACAGATGAGTAAATCATAATAGCTAGCACATGATGTACAGATGTGTAGGTATGGGAAGAAATAAAAGAGAAGATAAGAATTGGAGGTGATTGCCAGTTGCTGGATCCAAAGAACTGGCAGCAGTAGTGATTGGTGAATATGGTTGGGAGGACCAGTGATCAATTGTTGTGTATTAATTGCGGGTTCTCCAGCTGTCTCTACAGCTATCCTCTATGGAAATTCCGAATTCACCCTTGAAATTCATCATCCCTAGCCACACAAAACAATTGAACGGATTTATATATCATGTTGGTCTTTCTTAACCACCACATAAAACCTCAAACGAGAAAGAAAGAACCGAATCTCTCTTCCAAGGAAGGAGACGACCAGATTGAGGAAATGAAAGGCTTTGCGCCTCTAGCTCCCATTGCCAAGAGGTAAATTTGTTAATAAATATTTTTTTTTATATTTTCCAGTACCCCTTAAATTAGGTTTTGTAAATTAATTAAATTAGTTTCGTCCCAAGAAGATTGCAGGGCAAGGTTGCGGTGATCACGGGCGGCGCCACCGGCCTAGGCGCGTCCGCCGCCCGCCTCTTCGCCCGCCACGGCGCCAAGGTCGTGATCGCCGACATCCAACCCGAACCGGGTCGGTTACTATCCGAGGAAATCAACTCATCCCAATCCCACGGAACAGCAGCAGCCGCCGCCTCTTACGTCCACTGTGACGTCACCGTCGACGCGGACGTCCGAAACGCGGTCGACGCCGCCGTTTCGACCCACGGCAGGCTCGACGTCATGCTGAGCAACGCAGGCGTGATAGCCAGGCCGGACACCATGGCCATCGCGTCCACCGACCCGGACGACTTCAGGCGCGTGTTCGACGTGAACGTGTACGGCGCGTTCCTCGCGGCGAAGCACGCGGCGAGGGTGATGATGACGACGGGGCAAGGCGGCGGCGGTGGCGGTGGTGGGGCCATCGTGTTCATGGCCAGCAACGTGACGGAGAGCTACGGGACCACCCCGCACGCTTACGTGGCGTCGAAGCACGCGGTGGTGGGGCTGATGAAGAACCTGTGCGTGGAGCTGGGAGGGAACGGGATCCGGGTGAACTCCGTTTCGCCGTTCGGCGTCCCGACGGCGATGGCGCTGGGGTTCACGGGGATGGATGAGACGGCGTTTAAGGAGGCGTATTACGGGAGGATGGGGAATTTGAAAGGGGCTGAGCTGGACGCTGGTGACGTGGCGGAGGCGGCGTTGTATCTGGCCAGCGAGGATGCCAAGTATGTGAGCGGGGTTAATCTTCTGGTTGATGGAGGTTACCGCTTGAAGAGTGCCTGAGTTTTCCTTGTGGTAATTTTTTTTCTTGGGTTGAAAACAAGATGGTTGTGTTAATATAATAATATTAGTTCTCATCCCAGAAAGAAAAAAAAGGTCGACAAACAAAGAGAGCAATGGCAGACGTTTAGTCACGTTTGTGTTACCGTTACCCAAACAGTAAAAGCTTGATCGGTACAAATAACAGAAACCCAGCGTTACTATGCATTCAAGTATGTATATACATAGATATGTAGATTAGGGGGAAAAATCTATGTGATAAGGCGAGAGTTATCACGTCACTTTCATAATCAATCATTATAATAATATAAATGTCCTTATCTATTATAGCCTTAAAAGTCATTCGGCATTGAATATGTTCAATATAACACAAAATAAGCAAAAGAATAGTATTGTTGATTTATTTCAAGAGTGAGCGGTGACAATTATTTGCCCAACCAAATGCGTTAATAGGCAAGATTAATAACTTTCGTTTTTTTTTTTTTTAATTTCGCTTCTTATGGATACGAAAAGAATAAATAATTTAGAAGTATACACTATAACTAAAAGTTACCGACGATGAAAAGCCTATTGCTTTGGTTTTCATTCCTGAAAAGATAGGCGTCTCAGCAGATTATGTTAGATCAAGATGGAAACTTAATCCTTTGATAACTCTCACAAAAAGATTTGAAACTTCCGAACGGGATAGAATTTTAGGCTAGTGGAATTTTGAACCAACAGAATCTCGTGCAGATAACGTGTTATTATTCATTTGCTTCTCTCCGTTTGTTTTTCTTCACTACAGGTTAAGGGGCTACATAACCAAAAGAAGAAAGGGAAAACAATCATGCAATGCATTATTGATGACAAATTACTATTTAATACAAACTCGAATAATTATGCTATGCTACTACTATTTATATCAACATCCACAATTATATTATATTGATAATAAATATATATATGGTTCTATTGTACTTTGGTAAAATCAAGGGTACGACATACCCTGAGTAAAACAATGCTATTTAGACTTTGAATTCACCGGAGTTTGGCATCTGGTACTATTCCTAAACCTTTAAAGATTAAAATCTAGGTCTTAATTCTATAAATCTCACATACTAAGATCGGTTTAATTAGAAACAAAAATCGACGGCTATGTTTCGTCAAAATATATGCAACAAATTACATGCACAATCTTAGGGGTTAGGCTCTATATGATTTAGAAAGCTAAGACCTCGGGTTCACTCATCAAGGGTTAGGGTATGGTACCATGCCCAAAAATCCGGTTAATTCGAGGTCTAGATAGTGTTTTCTTAATCGTTAGGGTATGGTAGCGTATTCAGTGCACTCACTTTTTTTGGTGCACCATCTCATAATCGTTATTCTAAGCAAACGATTCATGTAAAAATGACGGTAATCGTCATGTATGATATGATGGACAAAAAAATACATGAATTTGTACAAAAATCATTCAAGATTTACTTTATTTTCAATGATTTAGGGTTTAGGGATTTAGGTTTACAATTTGGGGTTTTAGGTTGGGATTCAAAATTGAAAGTCAAGATGTTAGGGCAATGGATTGATTAGTTATGATTCTATGTTATATCATTGATTAGTTATCATTCTATGTACTATAACCATTTTTAGAAGTGCGTGCACCGAATGTACCCAAAAAGTGAGTGACCGAAGTAGCCACCACATATATATATATATATATATATATATATATATATATATATATAGGTGGCAATTGGATCAGATTCGTGAATTGGATTGGTGGATTCATGGATCAAATGGATTGGATCCAATGGATTGGTGGATTCATGGATTGGTGGATTGATCCATGAATCCAAATGAGTGAATGACATCCAAGGCTTGGACCAAAATGTAAAATTTGAAAAATTTTGGTACTAAAATGTCATAATGAAAAATTTTAGGTACCAAAATATAATTTTCCAATGATATTTTTCGTATAAAAATATATATTTTAGGTACCAAAATGTAAAATATAAAATATATATGTATCAAATCGTAATTTGTCATTTGGGTCCATGGATCAATCCATGAATCCACAAATCCAATTGGATTTGGATCAAATGGATTGAATTTAAATGGATTGGATTAGGTGGATAATTTGGTGGATGGATTGGATTGGATTCATGTATTTGGATTCTAATGGTCCCCTCTGTATATATTCACAACGCTTAACATATATATATATAACATATCCATTGGTTGTTGCAGGCCGATACTGACAACCATCGCGTGGTCTATAAAATTATATTTAGCCACGTTAAATATTTGCCACTAGACACTAGTGTTAGGTCCCGAGTTTGCAAATAGTAAAACGACAATGGACTTCTTGGTCACTGATCCGCCAGATCTCATTATTGTCGGTTCTCTTACCCCCCACTTGCCCAAAATTAAAATCAAATATATTCATTCAGCAGCTTTATGTTGACCCCGACCTATCGATCTCGCGTGTTATATCTTTTACATCTTAGCTAGCAGCAACTCAACGGCAAACAATCAACAATGGCGAAGAGATTACAGGGCAAAGTCGCGCTCATCACCGGCGGAGCCAGAGGCATCGGCGCCGCGGCCGCCCGGCTCTTCTCCCGACACGGCGCCAAAGTCGTCATCACCGACATCCGGGCCGAGCTGGGCCGGTCCGTATCGAGCCAGATCCAGTCGGAGTCGGGCCAGCCCGTCACGTACGTCCAGTGCGACGTCACCAGCGACAGCGACATGCAGAACGCGGTGGACGCCGCCGTTTCGATGCACGGCAAGCTCGACATCATGTACAGCAACGCCGCGGTCTCCGGCGCGGTCAGGCAGAACCCCCTCGAGAAGAAGAAGAAGATCGCCGACATCCTGTCGGTCGTCGACCGCGAGGCGTTCCGAAACGCGTTCGACGTCAACGTGTACGGATCGTTCCTCGCCGCGAAGCACGCGGCGAGGGTGATGATCCCGGAGGGGAAGGGGAGCATCCTGATGAGCGGGAGCATGGTGACGGCGAGCTACGGGGCGGCGCCGCACCTGTACGTGGCGACGAAGCACGCGGTGGTGGGGCTGGCGAAGAATCTGTGCGTGGAGCTGGGGGGATACGGGATTCGGGTGAACAGCATCTCGCCGTACGGGGTGGCGACGCCGATGGGGGTGGAGTCGAGCGGGCTGGACGAGGAGACGTACGAGGGGTTGTTCACGGCGATGGCGAATCTGAAAGGGGTGGTGTTCAAGGCGGAGGATGTGGCGGAGGCGGCGTTGACGCTGGTGAGTGACGAGTCGAGGTATATTAGCGGGGTGAATCTCTTGGTCGACGGCGGGCACTCCTTGAAATCTGCTTGATTGTGAATCTTGAAATTGTTTGGTTGGTGAGGGGATTAATAATTGCTGTGTGATTTCTCTTTGTAATCTTTGCGTTGGGGAAGTGAGTTACAAATAATGCAATACCAGCTGTTAACTTTTTTTTTTGGGTTACACTGTTACAAGGCAACGGTTTAATTTAAGTTTATTATAAGAATAAATGATATAATATAGGGCTAATACCACTAGAAATACCAACGTTTAGCAGGGGTAGAGGGCTGTTGATTCGGTTATCGGTTAACTGAAAAACATTATTCTCCCTACCGAACACCGATAGAGGCCCCATTCTCGGTTAACCGACCACCGACCGGTCGGTTACCGGTTAGTTGGTCGGTTTAGCCGAAATAACCGAAGCAAACTCGTAGCTGCAGGGAGCGAGGGTCGTCGACTCTCAGCAGAGGGCAGGGTCACGGGATGGGGGACAGGGGCGCACCGGCGGATGGTGCGGAAGAAGGAAGGCGTCGCGGAGCCTGGGGTCGCCGCTATCTGGGACGGAGGAAGGCGCGGAGGAGACGGCGTTGTTGTCTGCTGTCTTGGACGGACGTGGGGGTCGCGCGGAGGAAGGCGTCGTCGGGGATCGTAGGGTTGTGGAGGGTGGCTGGGGTTTGGGGGTGAACGAAGGGGGTGGGTTGGCTGCTATTTGGAGGAGGAGGACGAAAAATTGAAAGAATAATTAGGGTTGGGGGTAATTGTTTATGACATAAAACGACGTCTTTTTGGGTAGGTTTGTTATTTTCGATTAGTCGGTTAACCGCGGTTAATCATCTTCGGTTACTCAGTTAACCGAAAATATCCTCCCTCCTACCGAACACCGACTAAGGTAAATAACTGTCGGTTTTCGGTTAGTTGCTAACCGATCGGTTAAACCGGTCAGTTAACCGCTAACCAAAAACCGATCGACCACCTCTAACGTTTAGCGAAAGTGTCATTTATATTATGAACTTTCGATATGACAATTGTATACCAACCGTTAAGGGAATGGGTTAATTTGAGTTGGTGAGATTATTCTGGTAATTGGAAGGGGTAGGGGTGGGCTAATTCAAGGTGAGCAGCTTCCTCTAATAGTGGTCGGGAGAGAGAGAGAGGGTTGATATGGCGCTTAGATGGATGATAAATGGTGTCGTGTCATTAAGAGTCAAACATGTTTTGACTTCTGTTAGCTCTACCATCAACTCTAACGGTCAACAAAATTCGTGTAACACAAATGACAGCCATTCAACACAGACTGGTTGGCCAACCGTCAACACAGATGGTTCTGTCGTCTACTCTCCTTCGAGCACGGCAGCAAGCGGCGTCGTGAGGGGCGACGACGACCGTTTCATTCATGCTTTTTCTTTGAACCTTGGAGGGGGATTCAATTACCTGTGTAGAGCTGGCTGGGATCGCATATGGTCTCAAGATTGCTTGGGAACTAGGGCTTAGGAAGGTAATTCTGCAGTCAGACTTGCAAACTGCCATTCAGCTGATTCAATCGGCTCAACCGAACAACCCGTATTTCGTTGTTGTGAGGGAGATTAAACGCTTGATATCTTTGCCATGGCAGGTCTGCATTGAGCATATTTCAGGGAAGCAAACTTTGTAGTTGACTACCTAGATTCCCTTTGTCACACTTTTTCTTTGGGAGTCCATTAGTTTCCGACTCCCTAATTTCTCATGAACTACTGCTATATTTTGATTTGATTGGAGTGGCAAATCCTCGTTTTATTAATGGATAAGGGTTGGGGCGCCCCTGAAGTGCTCCGTTTTCGACCAAAAAAATTGTACTTTTGTCATGTAATTTGATCGGGGCCATTATTAGTGATAATAAATTTTCGCCATCCTCGCTCAATTGGATGAAAAAGGATTGGCTCCCAAAAGTCTCTGTCTCATGTCATATCACATTCCAACTCGAGCTAGGAACAACTCTCGGGAGCCTTTTCTGCAAGGTTGTCAAACCGGTATATCATTGTCAGTTTAGCAAGGAATGGTTCGATCGATGTATAATTGGTGCATGAACGTTTCATGCCGATTTAACAAATAGGTAGAAATGCGAAAATCCATTAATAATAAATGCATTTAATGATATATGTTTGAAAACAATTTACTTAAAATTCATATTGATATTTAAAATAAAATGCGACATTCCTAATAAAATTATAAATACTCGTGTTTAAATACAATATTTAGCGTCAATACCTAAACGTTTATATTTGAACCCAACAAAGAACGTCAACATTTAACTTTTGAACTCATAAAATAAATGATAAATTAATTTTGTATTAATTAAATTCACTAAAACGACATCATTTTGCTTAGAAATCATAAATCGATCATGTCGGTCATACTGATGGACTTCACACCAATTTAATGAGCGGTTCAGGGGCGGAGCTACAGCTGGTCTCGGGGGGGCTCCGGCCCCCCCGAGAATCGTGAAAGTTACGTCTAAACTACATCGATATATTGAAAATTTCGTAAAATTAACAAACTGTCTAATAAGTTTAGTGTGCAAATTTGAAAAATCAAAGTAAGCCTAGTCCAGCGGGAGAGGAAGGGAGCTATTATGTAGCTGATTGGGGGTTCGATACTCATCCTCTGCCATTATATTATTCTTTATTTGCTTTCTGTTTTAATATATCTTCATATAATTACGTTTTTAAATTTTATTATTTCTTTACCCATTTAATTAGATATAATTACTTTCAAAGTTTCATGTTGTATGGTTTCTTCATTTCATTATTGCAATATTGTTTCTTTGCTCATTTAATTTCAAATTTAGTTTTTTTACCACTTTGCAATTTTATAGCACTGAAAAATTATTCATTTTGACCTTCCATAAGTTATTCTACATCAATATTTTGACTCTAATCATCTAAAATGATTAATCATAATACTATTAAAAGTAAAATTTACTTTGATTGTCTTGCTTAGTTTTTAATTTTTTTATCACATTTATGGAATAACAATATAAATTTTTTTCGGCCCCCGAACTTGAAATCCTAGCTCCGCCCCTGGCGCGGTTCAACCATATTCAACCGGTGGCGTTAGCCGCGTGACACCCATGCTTTCCTAGGAAACGTGACAATGTAAGACTTAAAAAAAATGGGAAAATGATTTCAGCTCTCTCAAGCACCATCGTTTCCTTCCTCCTTCACTATGCCGTCAATAACACTATAACAGGCAACGCTGGTACCAACGACTTTCCAACTACCACTTCCAAGTGTCGCTTCTAGGCTTCCCGCTGAAGGACACGAGTCCTTGAAATTTGATAAAAATAACTTCATCCCTCCTTCCTGTTAGACGTCGAGATTTAGCAAACAATAATGACAAGGCAAACCGATTAATGTGGTATTCTTGATAATAAATACTAATCAACGAGAGAAATTGAAGACTCGATCTCCTAAATCATATTTCAATAATCTTCATAGTTTCATACTTGTATATGTATTAGGATTTTCTCGTTTGTTTATGTATCAGGATTTTCGTTAGAAAATAACAAAATACAATATTACCCTCATCTTCTTCCTCCCATCTGTAAGTGCATAAACAGAAGGAAAATACAAGTTTGCGGAATAACTCTACAACAATAATGACAATGCATAAGAACTAACATATCAACATCAGTTTTCTGCAAACAAACAAGATCCTGCTTATAACATGAATGGCTATTCCCTGATCAATCTCCTCTTCTTCCTCACTTATGTGCTGCTCAATTTACAATAGACAAGAACTATCAACTCCACCAATAATCTATCATTGCCACTAATAAACCCCCAAATTGAAGAACCCAAGTCGTAAAAATGAAGAACCCATGTCGGAAACAGGCGAGAAGAGACCATCTTCCCATATCTATAAGCGACGACGGCCCAATGGTGCTTTCTTCCGATCGAAAAGGCTTGTTCTTCGAGCATCTTCGGGAAGGAAATTAAACCACTAGGAACAACATCGACATCCCCCTCAACCCGTTTAGGATTAATAGTCGCCGTTGTTGACTATAATCGATGTCGATCGGGTTCAAGCTTCCCCTCAGACAGAAGAAGAATTGTCGACCAACTGGATAAACAATCACCAACAACAACATCGTTATCTCCCTCGCCCCATCTAGGATTCTTCGTGGTCGTCCTTGACTGGAATCGACGCTAGGTTGAAGCTTTCCCTCGGACGAAAGAAGTTAAGAATCGCACAGGTTAGGGCTGGAAAAATAGACCAGACTGTTAGAAAAACCGTGATCTAAATCGTACCGCACAGTTTGGTACGGACCGTAGACTGTTAAGTACGGTCTGGTCTATGGTCTGTATATTTTATGTGTTGAACTGTTGATCTCTTGGTCTGTCTGGTCTAGACCGCGGTTTACCGGACCAAACTATGGACCCAACCGACTTGTCAATATGTGTTAACAGCCCATTCGACCACTCTCCAAACTCCCACAACGACATCCAAGACTCAACCTTAGTTTTGTAAATCTCGTCCCTCCTTCATTCACAACCACATTTAACCAGAGAGTAGAGGTAATCGTGTCTCCATATGACATTATGTTAATGTTTATGACGTTATGGTGCAAGTTTGGATGCTTTTGCTTTGTATCTTTGTTATGTACTAAGATTTAGGGTATCAAAATTATTGATGCATGTTAGGATTAATGTTTTAAGGCAAATAATTATTATTTTTCTTGGTTATTGGTTCATTTTTTTTTTTTTTGGTTGACTAAACAAATTATTCATTTTTCGTTGGTGTGGTCTATCTAGATCAGACCAGACCGAACCAGACCACACAGGCGTGGTCTGGACCGGACCGTATAGTCTGTGGTCTATACTTCAGCCTCTCGGTTTGGACCATAGACCGTATATATGGTCTGGTCTGGACCAGACTGCACCATTTCCCAGTCCTAGCCACGGTTGTCGCCGTTGACTGGAATTAACGCTGGTTCAAGCTTCCCCTTGGACGGAATAAGAATAATCATGCGACGATTACCGCGATGAAAGAAAAATTGACTTGCGTCGGAGAAG